GATGCAGACATCCCCCGTCCCCGGCCGCTTGGGCCAGATCCCTCCGTGTGAATCCCAAGGCGAAACACAGTCTCTCCAGCGTGTCCTGGGTCTCCTCCTGCTGGGACGTGTCCGTAACACCTCACCAGGGAGGCGTCCAGGAGGCCAGATGCCTGAATCACTTCAACCGGCTCCTCTTGATGTGGAGCAGCCGCGGCTCTACTCTAAGCTTCACACCTCGTGGAGGAAACCCGTTTCTGTCGGCGATCTCAGTCCTTCAGTCGCTATTCCGGAGCTTGAGACTGTAGGAAAAAACCCAATCATGACCCCGGCACCTCTAAATGAGCAAAAACATGTTGTCGTTTTGTTTTTTTGCGTGTCTGGAAACATTTCTACTTCGGTTTCATTGAGGCTTGAAATGGAGATTTGAAATAAAAAATGAAATGTCATCTGCACAAGGGGAAATCTTATGTTCGGTCGGCCTTTTTCACCCGCCTTCAACAAGCTAATTTCTGTAATCTTCTATTAAAAACGCTGTTCTTTAACATCAATAACACTTAAACACCACAATGTTTTAGATTAACAAGTGGCTTGTGTATCCAGTGACGGATATTTGAGAGGCAAATGTTTGCACGGTGAAGTTGTTTATCCAACCCCAGCCCTCCTTCTTTTTTTTTTCTTTCTTTTTTTTGGGGGGGGCGGGGGGGGGATTCAGGGTTGAAGGAATGTTAGTCTGTTTTGAATTACAGCAGCAAAGAAAACAAACATCTCCCCATATGTCAAAGGCAGACAGATAAACAGCATGTTGTAAAAAACACAGCAGCTTCGACGCAGACGGAGGAGAAATTTGCAGGCATTTCTCGGTTTGGTTTCAAATTTGTGTTCCTGTTTTGAGGTTTCAGAAGAAAGACGTATGTTTGTTGGTAACTGGAGTGTTGAACTGCATGTTTGCTCAGTATATAAATAATTTATCGTCTCCACAATTTTGGTGCACACATAAAAATAAATGACAACCAAGTCGGATCTTTTTTTTTTTTTTTTTTTGGAAAGACCACGCCCATCTTTTTTTTTTTTTTTTTTTTTTTTTTATTTATTTTAACTTTGTTTTTT